CCTGTTGTACACAGCCGCCCAAAGGGCCAGCAGGAAACCAAATCCAAATCAGATCGTCTTGGCGCGGTATGAGATTTGACTCAGCGATGCTTGACTCAAATCGACGCGGAGTACTCACCCTACACCGCAGGACCCAACAATTCTCTATTAAGAGCAACTGCAGGTTCAGTTAGTTAGTTTCAGGAGCAATTACAAGCCAGCATTCTTCAGCAGGCTCCAAGTTGAAGCTTTAGTTGCTCTTGCCAAATGGATGGTTTGACGGCACCCCGCTAATAACTCCACAGTAACCAGCATTATCGGCCAACTATCTGCATTGAAACAGATGAAATCGGAGTTCCAAAAGTTTCTTGAAGAAGTGAAATGCCAATGTGTTCTCAACCGAATAACAACGATGCAAATACTAGATACATGAATAGATAGCTTACAAATCTGATTATAGGTCGCAGATTCTGCTAAACCTGGGGAAATGCTCAAGGACAAATTTCTTCGGTGCTGTTGAATCTGAAACTGATACTCCACCATAGACAGACGTACAGTTTTCAGCACCAGGGCACTTCAATTGTTTGTCTGCACCCGTTTCTCCATCACAGGGCCATTTCATTCAACAAGTGCACCTCCTCCAACATGAAAGCCACAACTGCTCCTCCTGCTGCTGATTAACCGAACGACCACCTGAAAGGCTGAAACAGATGGCACGCCCTGTATCTACATCGACCCCTCTGCTCAAAATGATGTGCTTTCGCTGGACAGCCGGGCTTCCAAATTTTCCACCAAGTTCCATTATTATGGCCTTATGAAAAAAAGGCATTTACTCCATTTGGTGCATGAATAGTTTGTAAATGTAAATAGCACATGAGCCTGGGCTGCAGAGATGCACATAAACAAAATATTCGATTTTGTGTTGAAGAAATAGAAGCTTAGATCCGCTCTTGCAAGGAGCTATCACTCTTAATGTCATCAAGACCCACTACAAGGATTCCGGTCTATTGCAACAAAATTTATTTCTACAACTATTTTTCGTTGCAATAAAATGCTATATTACCATAAAATTCCAGTTCATGGTAATAGGATCTACATATTGCCACAATTTAGTTTCATCGCGCTAGGTACTCATTTTGTTGCAATAGAAGCCGTGTATTGCCACAGGCTGCACCAGGCGTTGCAATATGGTAGTGATATTGCGACGATTGTGTCCCGTTGCGTGAATTGGCCATTTTGTTGCAATAAAGACTAGGTATTGCAACAAAGTAAATCTTTGTGGCAATATTTAGACATATATTGCGACAATTCTGACATGTGGCGCTAGCCATAGATACTGTTGCAAAATACATGGCTTCTTATTGGAACAAAACATGTACTAGTTGTAATAGGGCGATTTTTTGCCTCACCTTCGATGTGTTGCAATAACTATTACATATTGCGACAACTTGTGCGTCCATGGTAATACGTACAACATATTGCAACAATCCTCTTGTATTGCGAAAAAAAGGAGTAGGATATTGCAACGATATTCTCTATAGTGCCCCTGATTTTTTCATTTGTTTATTATACTAATTCTCAGGATCTGATTAAAGGGGTGTACTAGTTCATAGAGGTATTAACACATTTGGTACCACAAATTGCACCTAAGTTGTATTTTAGTCACATATCTTGCAAAGTGTACATCGGTGGTACCACAACTTGGAGGAATGCTCGCTTACGCGCGTGTGAACTTCCTTGGTGGGTCCTATTTGACGCCCGCACGCATCCAAAGGACATGGCTCTGCTGAAGCCTGGCCACCCGACGCCCTAATTTGGGCCGGCCCACGGTCGGCTGCTTTTTCTTCTTTTTCCTGTTTCTTTCATTTCTGTTTTTCTGTTTCATTTTCTTTTCCATCTTTCTTTTTCTTTCTTTTTCGTATATTATACACGTTTCATTGCATATTTATATACAAACATGTTCATCGTATATTTAAGAAAATGTTCATTGTGTATTTTGAAATTGTTCAACATATATTCACAAAAATGTACGACACTGGACTACACGGTCCAACATGAAGACTAAACTGCTGCCGACCCACCCAAAGGACCAGCAGGAAACCAAATCCAATTCAGATCGTCTAGGCGCGGCCTGGCATTTGACTCAGCCATGCTCGGCTCAACTCTTGATTCGACGCCGAGCACTCGTCCTACACCCACCACAGGCCCCAACAATTCTCGGTCTGGAGCAACTGAAGGTTCAGTTCAGTTTGAGAAGCAATTACAAGCCAGCATCCATTCCCCTAGCTAGCAGACGACTAACATTCATTCTTCAGCAGGCTCCAAACTAGAGAATGCTGGAGCTTAAACCAGCATTATCAGCCTACTATCTGCATTGAATTTGAAACAGATGAAACCATAGTTGAAAAAGTTTGCCAATATCTTCTCAACCAAACAACAACGCCAATAGTAGATACGTAAATAGATGGCTAACAAATCTGCGTATAGTCCCAGCTTAATTCTGCTAAACCTGGGGAAATGCTCAAGGACAAAACTGTTTGGTGCAATCGAATCCGAAACTGAAATTCCTCCACACACACACAGAAATACAGTTTCTAGCACCAGAGCACTGCAATTGTCTGTCTTGACCCGTTTCTCGATCATAGGGCCATCGCATTCAACAAGCGCACCTCCTCCAACATGAAAGGCACACCTGCTGCTGCTGCTGCTTAACCATCTTAGACTCTGCTTAATCTGGAGAAATACTGGAAATCACAGTATGAAATGTATCTGAAGAAGTTAAAGGTCCAACAAGTTACAGATGTGAGGTGAGTATCCCAGCTTCCACAGCAAGCGTTGAAGAGGATAAATTAATCCGCATTACAAGTATCTGAACAGGATAAAGGCAAACAAAGATAGAGAAACAATTGCGCCAGCCAAATAATTACCTTGGACAAGAAATCTTGTTTTTTTTCCCTCGCAATCAAGGCAAAGCTTTGCCTTTTTACATAAGAAGAAATTTGTGGGACGCTTAATCGAAGGCAAACCATGGCTACAACCACCCGTTGCTATACAGCAGACTCGACGGACTGTCAACAAGAAAGCCTCCCTGGACGGACCTGGAGACATTCTTTTGGAAACAGAGGTGCAGATCGTCATCGTTCAACAAAATGAATATGTGGAAACAAGGAAAAGTCCAGATCTTCACTGTGAAATTTTGCTTTACAGATTAGATCCATTCTCGACAAAGTTTGTAATCTACAGCACTGGCTACAAGCCTACAACGAACAGGAAGGCTATACTGCTGCTGACCCCTGGTGTACACACCCACCCAAAGGAGCAGCAGCAAACCAGAATCCAGATTAGACGTCTCGGCCAGCCTGGGATGTGATTCAGCGACGCCGAGCAGTCGCCCTACACCATACATCACCCCGACAATTCTCGACCAAGACCGACTGCAGGGCAGTTCAGTTGTACAAGTACAAGCAATCACAGGCCATTTCCACTAGCTAGCAGAGCTGTCATCAAGGATCCAAGGAACTCGTTCAGAGCATCCTTCCACAAGGTTCCAAACTGAAGAACGCAGACAGTTTCTCAACAGGTTGAAGCTTTAATTCATCTTGTGGAAGGATGATTTGAACACCATGCCGCATACACCTCCCCAATAGCCACCACTGCTGGCGTACAATCACTATTCAAACAGAGAGAATCACAGTTTCATCAACAAGTTGTAAGGCTAAATGTCTTCTCAGCAAAGCGACGACCCTAGAACTAGATTTATATAGATAGGTAGCTCACGAGTGTGAGTATGCATCCCAGCTTCTACTGAACCTGGAAAGCGTCAAAAAGGTGATGGATTAAATTTGCATTACAAATATCCGAGGAAGAAATAGGGTCATCAGTGTTCAATCAAGCCAATAACAAACCTGGCAAGTGTTGAAGGAGATGATGGATCATCAGTGCAACGACATCAGAGTGCTGTAAAGTTCCTCAACAAGTTAAAGCTCTAATTCCTCTTGCAAAATGGATGGTTTGGCAATGTGGGCGACATCTCCCCAGTAATTAAGTAGCACCGCCGGAGCACCATCAGTATCCAAGCAGATAACAATAACAGTTTCCAAGGTCTCTCAACAATATGAATATATATCCCAACTTCTACTAAACCTGGGACATGTTGAAGGAGATAATAAATATCAACATTATAAGTATAGCTGAACAAGATAAATGGTCAAAGTTCAACCAAGCCAATAACAAACCTGGCAAGTGTTGAAGGAGGTGGATCATCAGTGCAAGCGCAATTCCAACGTACTCCCTCCGTTCGGAATTACTTGTCCCAGAAATGAATGTATCTAGACGTATTTTAGTTCTAGATACATCCATTTTCGAGACAAATAATTCCGAACGGAGGGAGTAAGTAAGAATAAGAAAGTCTGTATGTATGTCCTGTGAACAGAGGACGGCCGGTGGCGAACATCGCATCTCCCCGCCCTGTAACCACCACAGGATCACATCAGCAACGCCGGCCCGGACAAGGGCCACAATTTACAATTCACCAACATATGTAGGCAGAATCACAATTCCCGCCTGTGCGTCTAGCGGAGCAGAGCAGCCATGAGAGGGGCCTACTTATTATCCAAGAAACTCACAGCATCCAATCTGCAGAGCGATGTAAAGTTCCTCAACAGGTTAAAAGCTCTAATTCCTCTTGCAAAATGGATGGTTTGTAATTAACCAGCCCTGCCGGAGCACCATCAGTATCAAAGCAGATTAAATCACAACTTACAAAGTTTCTCAGGCCAATAGTCTTCTCAACTGAATAACCAATACTAGGCACATAGATACATGGAGTAGCTCCCAAATACGAGTATACATATCACAACTTGTACTAAACCTGGGCCATACTGAAGGAGATGATAAATCCACATTATAAGTAGTATATATAGACAAGATAAAAAAGGTGAAAGTGCAACAAAGCCGATTGTTTACAATCATGACATGACCTAGTAGCACATTATTTGAACCAAACAGAATCGATGCCCTTTCTACGTGGTTGTCATCCTGTTTTCCTTGCTTAACTGGGCAACATTATTCTCCTGTATGAGTTGAAAGAAGCTTCCTGCTCTTTCGGGGTTCTCGCCAGGAAAAAGGCTGAATAACCTCCACTCGCGAACTATTCTTGGTATTTCCTCCCATGTCTTCGGCTTAAATGGTTTAAATTCCGTTACTGCACATAGCACAAATGATGTCAGAACAAATTTGAACAAACTAATGTAACACGAAGCTTTATACCACAAGGAATTAAAATAATGGAGGACAAGCTTGTACAGATGTGTTTGACAGTGGTATATGTGATGGGATGGATGACTGCATCTGTAGGTTATATGCGGCAAAGATAGGAAGACGTGCTGCATACCTTCATAATGGGCATCTAGTCGTTTGTGGTCAATGCTACCCAGCTGCTGCTGCAGGCATCGAGGCAGCTTCTTTATAGCAGGACAGAGCTTAATAATAAGCTTTTTGAGAGACTCGTATGCCTGTGACTCATTTGGTAGGGATGCCAGGGTACAACAGCCAAGAAGATGAAGGGATTCAAAGGATGGGGTGTGCTCTCCCGGCATTGACTCAAGCGATGTCAGCCCAGCGTTGTCAATAATGGTCAGTCTCTTAAGGGACGTGGGCAGATGGAGAATCCCCCCCAACATGCCAGCACAGAACAATACTTCTAGAGATTCAAGATAAGGAGGAAGCGAATGCCTCGTTGCTACTGCTGCTGACGGCTCTGGTACATTTATGGAGGTAGTGACTTCGGGTCTCTGGAGCCCACCCATCTGATAAGATAGGCCTCGAATACTACTGCAGTGAGCAATACTTATGGTCTTTAAGGACTTTGGAAGATTTAGAACCGCTGGTAAGCTTCCACATCCAGATATACTTAGCTCTTCTAGGCATGAACAGAAGTGATTCATGAGTGATGATGATGATAACTCTGACACACCTGCAGGCATGATTGCCTCACTACAAGAAGAGCCTTCAACGAACTCTGGCTTGCCCTGCTGCTTGCCATAGATGGGCTCGAGCTTAATGCACCCATGAATATACATGCTCTTGAGAGATGCTGGGACGTTGAACATCTCTACCAAACTTGCACAATAACGTAACTCAAGAGACTCCAGACCTGGCAGGCATTGGCTCCTACTGGATGCTGATGGCTCAAGAGGAGCTTGTGCATATCCAGTCAGATTTTTGCAGTTTACAATCTTTAATCTTCTCAAGGATACCAAGCTTTGGAACACTTTCTCTGGCCAGTGGACAAGCACATCACATCTACCAATTTCCAAACCTTCAAGGTGTACAAAATAGTCCCACTGCTCTAGTGCACCTGATCCAAAGAATAAGTTGCAGCATCCTAACTCCATAACTGTAAGAGGGGATTTATGGTTCCAGTTCTCCTTGTTGTCCACTGCTACAATTGAAGTGCGCTCTGTCTCTGATGTTGTTTCTGTGTCTTCTAGCTTCAGTATCAGATCGGTCAGTGAAGAAAAAAAATTGTCTACGAAATGGAAGACCTCTTGCCTGCCATCTTCAATTTCTAATACACTGAGTTTTGGTGCTTCGGGAAAATCTATTATCTTTGGGCACTTCTGAATTGATAGTTTCTCAAGCTGAGGAAACAATATCTGTTCTCCTTTTGCACCAGCATCCCATCTCTGAAAGCTCTCTAAGCCTTTCACTTTGAGCACCTTTAGGACAGGAAATGCTGTGTGTACCAATCTATAACCACCTCTGCTACATGGTTCTTGAAGCAATGGTGCTTCAGGTAAATTTATCAACTTTGGACATTCCTGAATTGATAGTTTCTCAAGCTGAGGAAACAATATCTGTTCACCTTGAGTCTCTTCGACTGCATCCCATCTGTGAAAGCTCTCCAGGTCTTTCATTTCGAGTACCTTTAGGGCAGGAAACGCTGAGTGTACCAATGTATAATCACTTTTACCACAAGATCCTTGCAGCAATGGTGCTTCAGGTAATGCTACCAACTTTTCACAATTACTAATACATAACTTCTCAAGCACAGGAAATATTGTAAGTTCTTCTTGCCTCTCATCTATTTTCCACCATCTCTCAAAACCCAACAAATGTTCTAGCGTAAGCACCTTCAGTCTTGGAAAAGTTAAGATTGTACTGCATCTAAATAAAAATCGCAATCTTTCACAATGAGAAAGATGTATCTCAACCATGTTTTGCAACATACCCATACACTCTCCTCCGTAGGAATATATCTTCAGAACCTGTAGCTCACCATGAGGTTCGAAATTGTTGAGCACCTCAGTGTCACAAACAGAAGTCCATTTTAATGTCAGTTGTCTGAGATCCTTCTTTTTACCGAGATTTGCCAATTTCGCTTCTGCTTTTGTATCAATATTCTCTATCTGACATAGCTCCAGCTGACCACCAAGGTTTAGGTCCTGCAACTCTGCAATATCACTGCAGTGAGGGCCAGTAACTGCTGCTACAAAACATGTAATCGTCTGCAGGTTAGTGAGTTTTCCTAGTTCTGGAGGCATGGTCTTCAACTTCAAACATCCATGAGTGTAGAGGTGACGGAGAGAGGTCATATACTTCATTTGCATTGGAAGTCGATCAAGGTAAGGGCAGTAGGAAAGGTCCAGCGTTTGCAGGTTATATAGAATACTTATATCTTCAGGAAGTGCTTTAATGTTACTGTATGAGAGATCAAGGTACCTCAAGTGATGCAGATACTTTGGTTTCAGTGGAAATGATTTTGTCTTAATAGTGAGCTTCAAGGCAGCCTACCCCAACTTGTTTGGGACTAAAGGCTTTGTTGTTGTTGTTGTTGTTGTTTGTTGTAGTGAGCTTCAAGGCATGCAAAGATCTGTACTTTGATAGATGTTGCAATGAGCTTCGCAGAGAGCTACCACACAACAGGGTTTGGATAGCAGGGGATCTTTTCTCCATAGAATCATTCAAAATATCTGCTGTTTCTTCACAAGACAGGAACAAATGCCTAGCAGTATCTGGAAGCAACTTGATTTGACTTGGTTCCACAGTCGCAACAATGCATTCCTTTTCCATAACCGACAATGCAATATCATGCATAAGATCATGGATTTTGCATGTTGTTCTGGAATAATTATTTGACAAGAATTCTGGGATAAAGCCATTTGCAACAGTTTCCTCTATCTCCACAAAAAATGACCTTGATGCCAGCTCATTGAAAATATATTTTGCAACAGTTTCAAGACTATCTTCCTTGTGTTCTGGGATGAAGCCATTTGCGATCCATAGTTGGATCAGTTTCTCCACATCAATCTTGTAATCCTTCGGAAATACAGCACAGAAAGCAAAGCACTGCTTCATGTCTGATGGCAAGTCGTTGTAGCTAAGCTTCAGTATTGGCAAAATTCCAGTTTCCTCGGTGCAAATGCTGCTTCTGGATGATACAACCTTCCATTCATCTACGCTGGTCTTGGTACGAAGTACAGAGCCCAGTGCCGTTGCAGCTAATGGAGATCCAGAACATCTCTTCACAAATTCATCAACCATCTCAACTAGTCCAGTAGGCTTTTCTTTCTTCGAGCTGAATGCTCTGGTCTCAATAATTTCCTTTGTGAAGCAATCCTCCAAAATATTGAGATTGTAGGGTGTTGCATCCATAATTTCAGCAATTCGTTTGTCACGAGTTGTTGCCAACACTGCACTACCCATGCCACCATGCAGACAGGCCTTCAGTGTTTCCCACTTATGGAACTCTTTGTTGTTCCAGATATCATCCAATACAAGGAGATACCTCTGCCCTCTGACCAATTCCTGTAGTTTTTCCAGTGGTGATTTTTGTTTGTCTATATCATCATTTTCCTTGGGAGATGCTTCAACAATACTCTTGGCCAGGGAGTTCACATCAAAGGTATCAGAGACACAGACCCAGAGCAGCAACTGGAAATGCTTCTGAATTTCAGGCTCATTGTATATGAGCTGAGCTAATGTGGTCTTGCCAAGGCCGCCCATTTCAACAATGGGAATAGTTGCGAGATCTGAGCGGCTAGCTTGACCAAGTAGTATATCTATAATCTTCTTTTTTTCTTTGTGTCTAGATTTGCTCGCAATTTCTTGTGGGTCGATGATAAAATGATTGGTCTGCCTCCACTGCTTGGACACTGGCGGCTGTGGTCGGTACTTAAACCTAAAGGCATGCATCTCTGCTATGAGGACCTCAATGGCCTGCAGAATCAGGCAAACCTTGCAACCCATTTTGTAACGGAACACAACACGATTGTGAGTAGGGAAGAGTTTGATTACATCAAAGCCGAGCTTGCTGTAGTGCCCATCGTTCTTGGCTTGACGGCGGAGTGCTTCGTACTTGAATTCGTCAAAGACTTCATTTGCCTCATAGGCCACCGTCTTGAGCTCCTGGAGCCAGGCTTTGGCACCTTTTCTGTGTGCCGTGGCCTGCTCCTCGGCGTCGGTGATGACGTCAAGGATGGCCGGAAGCTTGCGTTTGAGAGTCTTGTGCTGCTCCTCCATTCCCTCCATCACATTGTACTGGTCCAGGAGGTAGCTGGACGCCTTGTCTAACAGCTTGGACACCAATGGCTCGATTGCCATGGTGGCCAATAGCTCTTCCATTGGAGCGCTCAGAAGAAACTCCCGCAATGGGCACACAACACTGGTGAACACAAGCCAGTGCAGTGCAGAATGAAGAATAGAATGGTGTGAGCAAGACGTGCTAGCTTGCTTGTGAGGAGAATGGAAGCCGAGAGTTTCTGGGAGCGAAGGGATAAGTCAGATTTCTGAATACCAATAAAAACTATCCAACCTTGCAACAGCTCAGCGCTAATCATTCTTCTTGGACAGACGTACAATAAGGACTGGGCAACTGTTGTACCACATCAACAGCTGGCACACCAACAGTGCTAGGCGATGCCGATGGTGGTTGAAACTTGAATGCACCACGTGCCCAGAGTGTGACAGCACACCTACTGTACAACTAAAAACCTGAAATGTTGGTTTTCTGAATTGATTGAATCTTGAATGCATTACATGCAGACGGCTGGAGAGAGAAGGCCCAGCAGCAATTGCTTATTTTCTTGTCCTTTTTTCAATGACACATCTAATTAAGATTGAGTACAAGGTCGATCTAAGAAATGATCATAATCTGCTAGCAGGGGATTATCTCGTGTTTGTATGGAAATATATATTACTTAATATGCTGATATGATAAATCAAAACTTGACAACCTCCTGTTATTTGGTGATGACAGTATGTGGTCCAATTTGTCGAGCTTACTATGTTCTGTTATTGTGACGCACTGGAACCCGGCGTAAGGAGACATATGGATTTTTTTATCAGCTTAACAAGATTCGCTTGACTAACTAAACTCAGAAGAAGCCTAACTTTTAACTGTTGAAGAGAGAAGACCCAAAAGAATTTGCTTATTTGATTGTCCTTATTTCAGTGACACCTCTAATTAAAGATTGAGTACAGGATCAATCTCAGAAATGATCATAATCAGTTGGCAGGCGATTATCTCTTGTTCGTAGGGACATATAGTAATACTTAATATACTGACATGAATGATAGATCACAAGTTCACAGTTTCCTGTTACTTGGCAATGAAAAGATAGGCGTGTGAGTATGCAATCGAATTTGACGAGCTTACTATTTTCTATTAACGTGAGAGTGAAACCCGGCATAAGGAGCCACATGGAAGTTTTTTATCAGCTTAGCGAGATTCACTTGACTAACTAAAATCACAAGAAGCCTAGCATTTCAACTGTGCAGCAGAAGCAAAAATAAAGAAAAAGAGAGAGAAGAATGCTAACCTTATGCTGAGACTGATGCAAGCTGTAGTTACACTCCGTTCATAGTGTTATAAAGTTAGGATTTTAATCGTTTGACACATTAAACAAACATAGACAGTTAGCAATAGGTCTGATGAGATTGTATAAAATGGTACTCCCTTCGATCGAAGATAAGTGTTATGGTTTTAGTTTAAGGTTTTAGTTCAAATTTGAACCAAAACCACGACAGTTATTTTGGATCGGAGGGAGTACCAAAGAGACATACTAATACATTAACAGAAAAGGTGCACAAGGAAATTGCAAATACCTAGATCATGTATCATAGTCCAGAATGCACACGAATAAATGGCCATAAAAATGGATGACATTGTTAGGCAACAAAACCCTTGCAATTGATGAAATTTGCTACAGAAGATTTCCTGACAATAGACAGAGTTCCGAAAATGAGCACTAACATGATTGGCAAAAAACATGGTGCACAAGACATTCACAAAGCTACTCGAGAAGTCGAGAAATGAAACTAGAATGTGTAGAATAAATTTTTCCAATAGAAAAGACGATTAGTCATTTTTTAAACATGCCACTGGCTACTAGCTCATATCAAGTTACCTGTGCAAGCGTACTGGAAGGAATAAATTCCAGCATCCCTTCATCTTGTCCAGTTGGAAGAACTCAATACCAAGTAAGGTGCAAGTCCATATTTTCCAGTTTGAGCAACTGGTCCCTTAAAGAAACAATTTAAATAACCTACCATAAACATACAAAATCAGGCATCCCATCCAGGCAAGTGTGTGTAGGGATCCAGAAGATAAATGTGGCGGTTGCAGCCAAATATTCTATAACAGGTTGTCCGGTCCTTTAGAAATTAGAGCCAGAGAATGTGGAATTCACAGATCCAAAAGTTACCTACAAAAATAAAATGAAGCACGGTACAGTACAAACTGCAGTTTGTGGGCTTGGGTCATGCGCCTCAGATTTTTATCAAGGATGGTCTGTGCAACCAAAATAATGGGAGTTCTGAACTTATCAAGTGAAGACCCATTAAGCTGAGCAGATTAGCTAGACCAAGCACTTGATGAAACTGCACCTATACTGCCACATCCAGTAGCAAAATTTACTTTACTTGTGTGCAATATAGGAAGGTGTGCAATGCTCAATGGTGACCTGTAGGCCTTAGTTAAAAAAAAAAAGAGGTGACAAAATATCGTCAAACGGTAACGTTGCCTGATTACTTGTGTCATGGGAAGCGTGATGAACCAAGTATCCTGCAAAAAGATGGAGAAGACAAGGACGGAATAGGTCTTGGGACAGTTGGGAGTTGGGAGCTGAGAACGGTACACCTCTTAGTAAATAGGGGGACCAGCTGAGACGGTTAGCAATAGCTGTTGCTTGTGTTTGTGAGTGCCAATAACAACCACTGGTTACTGATCCAAGAGCCATACCAAGATTGCGCGCAGAGAAGTCGCGAGGAGTCTGAACGGCCCCGACTTGCACATACACGAGAGAGATATCTGACCAGTGGCTGTTGGTTAAGCGGATGAGGACATTTTGCTAGACTTGACTTGGTTACACACCCACATGCCACTCGACTCGTTTCAGACTGCAGTAGCATGTGAATGAATCTGATTGAAGGGTCGTCGGCACTCTTACTCGCCCACGGCAACGGTCGTTAGCTAGACGTAGTACCGGGCCTGATATCTTTCTTGACTTGTCTTAATTTCCAGGGATGCACTGAGTCAGTGTGATGGCACTGAAGCAGGCGTGCATCGTGACAGGGCGGGTTCTCTCTTGCGCGTTCGGCAAGTGAGCGGTTTGGTTGGTCACTATAGTAGACGGACAGCTACTCCGGCTAAGCTCGCGGTGGAACGACGAAGCTTTCATATGGGAATAAACACAAGCACCTGGCGGGCAGGTAGCTGGTGGGTGTAAGGTGACCTCGTGGCGGCGGGCTTGCTTCCAGCGGACGGGTGAGCAGAGCATCTTGAAGGCGACGATGCGTCTTCGTCCTTGCCTGCCGTCCTATGAAATTTGTGTGGACAGGAAGGCCGGAGTGGCAGCAGACGACGTATGACCTGGGGGGGAGGGGGTAGGCAGGATGGGTAACTGGGGCTTGGAGTACGGAGAAGGTGAGGTGGAGACTGAAGCTGCCGCCATGGACGGACGGACGGAGGCGGTGGGATCCGGGAGAGGCTGCGCCGGCGAGCGGAGGCGGTCCGGCCGGCGAGGAAGACGAAAAGGAGTGTTTTTTAGGGTGGAAGGAGAAAATGAGTAAGTGGCTCGGGTTCCTTTCGTTCGATTTTCCTTGCATTCGTCTGTTCATTTTCTCAGTTTTTTTTTACTTTTGTTTATATTTTTCATATTTTAATTAAATGTATTAAAAAATTTAATTTACTTAAATTTTCTAAGGTTTTCAGCACGCATTAAAGCAATGTTCGTACCATATGCGTTCATAGGGGTGAGCATATGTGCATATGTATGAGCATGCACGTCTGTAGTATGTTCACATAATACATTCTAATTAATTTTAGAAAATAATACATTCTGAATAAAACATTCACATAAGTTTAGAAATAACTCGGTACCATTCAAAAAAACATTTTTCATATTAAGTAACATTCATGTGTTTCATAAAAATGCATTCCGACCATTAAAAAAACATCTATACAATGTAGAATAAATTTTCACGCAATATAAAAATAATTCAAGCACTTCAAAGAAAGATGTTCATCACAGTTTCCAAAAAACATATTCTTACCATTCAAAACAAATGTTCGAGCATGTATTTCAGAAAAGATGTTCTTCACTATTTTCTAAACTATTTGTACAATCTAAAATATGTTCACATATTTTTTTTTTGAAATGTTCATGACATTTAGAAAATATATTCACGTGTTACAAAAAAAAGTTTGAGGAATTTTTTTAGAATTCCTTATGTAATGCAAAACAAAGTTGCAGATAATTTTAAAAATATATTTCATACCATTCAAAAAATCGTTCAATCATTTCAAAAAAAGTTGTTCATCATAGTTTTCAAAACTATATATACAATGTAAAAGATGTTCGCATAGTTTTGAAAGAAAAATTGTATCAAAAATATGTTCGCGACATTTTTAGAAAATGTTCACGTGTTACAAAAATAAGTTCATGGAATTTTTTATAACTCTTTATGCAATGCAAAGTAAAGTTGCACGTAATTTTAAGAATATATTTCATACCATTCAAAAAAATGTTCAAGCATTTCAAAATAAGATGTTCGTCACACTTCTCAAAATAATTTTTACATTGTACAATATGTTCGCATGATTTTAAAAAACATTCATTTAGAAAAAATGTTCAACAAAACTAATTTCATGGAATTTTTAGAAATGTTCATGCAATGTAGAAAAAGTTTCTGCATAATTCAGAAATTAAATGCTAAACCTGCATATCAAATATGTTTTAACGTGTATTTGAAAAAAATCTACATTTAAAAAACCAAAAAAAATGTAATGGAAAAGAAGGAAAAAATGATGAAAACCAATAAAGAACACATAGAAAAAAAATCATGAAAACCAATAAAGAGCAAGACATAGCCCTCGCTAAGGCCGCGTTTGGATCAGCGTTTCTCCTCGTTTCTGGCCGGTATAAAATATACAGAGCTCGTCCCGTCGTTTTGATTTCAGGCAGGAATCAAGTGTTGACCTGTAATTTACACTTGTAAAATAAATACAGGTGTAAAAACTTACACCCAATCCAAGCAGGGCCTAAGACGAATAGTGGAGAGAAAAGGTGCGGATCGGCAAAGTGTGGGCTTGGCTTAGGGTTGGTCTCTCGAATTAGGTCCAG